ACCATGGCAATGATGTGCATTCGGTCATGGTGTGCGAAAGAGCCATTAACGAAATAATCATGGGCCAAGTACTTATGGCCCATGTACGTAGCACATCATACATCCATACATCACATACATGAAACAAATTGATCCAATCAATTAATATATCTGTAAAACCCTTAATTAATTAGATTAAATAGTATCAGACCAACAAATTCCATAATGTTTACCATATAACATTATCTAGGTACATGGGTTGTACTACAAAAGGCAGTTCGGCCCATGTAGCCAAGTCATTGTTGATTTAGTTTTATCCTATTAAAGTTAGGTTTTTACAGAGGTAGGCCGAATTAAAACTTGAAGTGGGCCATCAACCCTCTGGCCTAAATCGAATTAGGGTTAGAAAAACCAAACCAATCGAACCAACAATTCGGTCCAACCAGTTTGGACCAAATCTGGTGTAAATCGGCCCAAGTTTTGGAGTACAATTCAATATTTAATTTAAGAATAATGATCTGAAAAATAAATTAATTCAAGATAATCAAATTATCAAGAAACTGAAATCAGAGGGCTACACTATGATTTTCTTTGATATCTTGCAAACTTGCAAACAATAGTTAATTGCAGATTGCAAAATTGATATTTGCAAAATTGTAGATCGTAGAACTCCTTTCTATGAAATCTTCTTCTCCTTTGTTGCGCACTTCAGCAATCTTCACATGGAAATAAAATAGAAAAATCTAATTTTTCTATTATTACATCACATTGAATTCCTATACAATTTGTCTAAAAATAAAAAAAATTATTTTACAAACCAAAATTGAATAGAAAATAAATCGTAGGGTGCGCCAATCTTGGCACCAAAAAGATTTGATCTCCATCACATGTGCAGCCCAAGAATTCAAGAAACATTCACAAAACAATTCTATAAATATGACAAAATAATAAATAATTATTTTCCATATCATCTGCCCAAAATCTAGAAACCAATTTCCAAAAAAAATGCCAGTTGCGCAAATCGGGTAGGATGCCTTCTGCCCATTTGCGCAAATTCATATCTATGTTAATTTGGTTCACGACTTGAACCTAACTTTGATACCACTGAAGGGATGAGAGATCCATCATATGGATGGCCAGACCCTGCAGGAAGGTTGGGCAAAATTTCAAAAATTTCTTTACTCTCATCCGGGAATCCTATTCCCAAATTTGAAAACTACATTTTCAAGGTTTGTTCTTGTAACCAAACCGGACCAAATCTGAAACCAAGATTAGGGAGGGATATACCTGATACGGAATCCACGCAAAAAGCTCCTCCCAATGTAGGTGTTCACACCCAAAGAGTGTACCAAATCCTCCCTCTATTGAAGATGACACAGCTTAGGATGAGGCAGGATCAATAGGTATTTCTTCACCAAGAACTTGTGATTCTTTAGCAAGAATCGAATGGGGTAGTGAACATAGCTTCAAAATTGTTTCTTCTCACAAGAAAAAATATAAAAATCAAATCTTGACTAGATCCAAGAAATGGAGATCGAACAGGATAGGGCGACAAGAGCAGGAAGAAAAAGAACTTAAGGCAAGATCAGTCTAACTGAGTTGTCTTCTTTCTGAGTTGTGTTTGGTGTCTTTTTCAAGTCCGCCCTGCTCTCTATTTATAACCTTAAAGAGACAACCTCCTAATTTGATTAGTTGTTTCCTAATCCAAATCTTTATTTAGATCTGTACTCTTTAAGTGATAAGGATAATCCCTTGTCTTATTTGTAGTTCAAAATCAACTTATTCCTAATCAAATTAGGAGTTTCTTGATCCAAATCTTTATTTGGATTTGTACTCTTTAAGTGGATAAGAGGAACTCTTATCCTTATCTGCTGATCCAAACTCAGATCTGCCCCTATTTAATTAATCCAATTAACCCTGTTTGAAATGGGCTTATAGGCCCATTAAGCTTTCAGGCTCACTTCCTTTTAATGTTGGCTAGCTTGGCTCTTTTTGTATGGCGTGGGACCCTTACATTGATCTACACATCAGCCACATGAGTTCAGCCAAGCCTTTGTTACAAGGCCTGGTCGAATTCACTACTGAATACAGTGAACCCCTAAGTCCATCACCATGGGCTCTTAATGGGCCCAACATTTATACTAAATGGTCTTTGGGTCCAGGCATCTTATGAAGGCCCAAGGACTGTGGACAGATTCAAGATTAGCCCATCAGGTATAACCCTCAATGGTCTTACACTTAACCTCTCATCCCTTAATGATCAAACACTGCCCGGCAAGAGAGGACCTCTCCCTCGGCTGCAAGGTACAGTGCTGCACTCTCTACTCACATGGATCTTGGGAATTAAAACCTTTTTGCAAACATTTTGAAACCATAATATATATGTATATCCGTATATAAATATATTTTGCAAAAACAAATTTCAACGATTGAAATTGGTTGCCGATAGTCTTGGTTTCCATCAGAGAGAGTGCATCCCCGATCATTCACTTTGTCTGACATAGGGGCTGATCTTGTCACTATGATCAYCCACTCAGATGAATTCTCGGATAGTCCCAACATGCCCAGGTTTTGAGCCCATCTAAGGATCTCAGTAATTGGCACATCAAAGACAGCCCAATCTAACACTTAGTGCAGTATCATAATCGAGTCTAGGGGTCTAGTGTAACATTCCTATTTTKCCCATCTATCTCCAAGGTCCGGGGCTACTAGAATTTTAGTCCAGTTTAGGGTTTCAAGAAAACTCACTCTACATGTACCTTAGGTCTCACCCTAGCGGCTGAGACAAGCCACCCCAACCAACTTGGCAGTACACTAGTGTCAGCCTTGGCAGGATAAATTTCCCCAAATCTATCCAACAACTATGAAGATTCTAAGCTAACATGAGTCTCATATGTGTCCAGTTTAAGGGTATTACACAGAGACATACCACAATAACATGAATCAAATATGTACTTTATTCATTTACAATAAATGTCATAATGTACATCATGCTGATTAGAGCTAAGGGCATACACTATCTAACAATACGTTAGGCTGATCTTGAGAAGTTTAAGGGTAGAGGAAGAGGAGAATGCCCAAGCAAGAGGAGTGGTTCCTGCTTGTAGTTTGCCTAGCTACTAATGCTACCTCTGGTTTCGGATCCCAACTAGTTACTTTCGTTTTAGATTTTATTTCCATTCTTTACTTTCGAGTTCTTATTTTTCCTTTCTGTGATTTACTTTTATCTAGTTTAATTTTTGTTTTCTTTTCTGCATATCTGGGATTCGGCTTGGTAAGACGGAAAGCCTAGCTCGAGGGTCAAAGGAGAGATTCAGGGACTACTATCTCTGGTCGAATTACAGACTTTTTATTTAGTTTCTTTAATTTATTTACTTATGTTATTTATTTATTCTTCTACACTATTCACTTCCAACTTTGTTCGAATTTTATTTTAATGGATTCCAATTTAATTAATTAAAGTTTTGTGTTTCTGCAACTTCCAATTATGTTATTTTGTTCGGATTAAAGTATGTAGTGATTTTTCCCTTGCTTCCCCATGGATACGACCCCTTTCCCACCACTAACTGTGTTTGTAGTTGTTTTAAGAATCAATTTTTTTTTCTAATATTAAAACTGGTGTTCCGAAGTGGTTAACGACATGCTTCCGGACACACCAGGAGATTGGGCTTCTTCCTCTTCCTCTTTCTCTTTTAGTGGCATGTACTTTGCTTTCCCAAAATAGGGGTTAGAAGGACAAGTTTGTCCTTTTTCACTTTGACTCAAACCTTGGAATGGAGTGGGCAATGCACTAATAATGTTTGGTTTTGTGCTAAATAAAAATAGTGGCTAAGTATGACTACTTTTGCATCTTATTATAAGAAATCAAGCCAATAATCTGACTGATTATATGACTCTAAGAACTAGGTTAATGTGCTTGTATATTGCATGTAGAATGCAAGCTACCAATGTATCTTAAAAAGGCTAATTAGCTTGATTTCATGTTGCTATTCTTGTAATTATTTTCCAAATTTATTCTCCATTGTTTTGTATATAATATCTTTGTATAACCAAATCAATGTTAATGAAATTCGACCCATTCTTTTAGAATTATTGTCTTTCTCTAGACTGTACCTTGGTATCAGAGCCAAGTCTTTGCAACCAAGACATGGCTTTCAACACTACCAATGTATCTGAAGCAATGAGATCAAGCAAGACTTTTTCTCAGAGTCCTTCAATGCCAATGAGTGTCAGCTCCATTCCCAACATCTCCCATTATCTGACAATCAAGATCAATGGGGAAAACTTTCTTCTCTGGAAAACTCAACTGCTACCATTACTTCAAGCTTACAAGCTAATGGGACTACAAGAGAATAGGTCTATAACTACTGCAATGTAGCTACAGAGATAAAAAATAAGCATGGGCTATTGCTACTGTCATTTCATCCATAGCTAGAATTCATTTTATCCGTGGCTAAAAGATCTTTATAGCCACGGATAACTAAATCCATGGCTAGAAATCATAGAAACTGAAAATTGAACTTTAGCCATTGTAATTTGTTCGTGGCTAAAAACACTTTTTTCGTGGCTAAAAACTATTCATGGATATACCAACGGCCTTTAGTATCCGTGCTTATATAAATTATAATTGACCATTAGCTACGGTATTTGTCTGTAAGTAAAAGATATTTATAATTGTACCCATGGATTTTAATTATGAATAGTATAAGGATAATTAATAATTCATAGATGAAAATTTTAAAAATAATTAATAATTAATAAATTATTAATATTTAATTATTGATGAATTTAATAATAATTTGTGATTACTAATTAATAATAATTAAAATAATAAATATTTAATTTTGATAGTTTTTCCCTCTTAGCCCATCACATCTGAGATGGTCAATTTTGTAATTTTACCTTCGCAACCGAATAGCCAAACTAGTTAATGGAGTAGGGCTAAAGTGCTAAAATTCAAAAGTTCAGGGTCTTTATCTTTTTGTTTTTAATTATTGAATTTATAAATGTTTTAATTTTCTTCCAAGAAGGAGGGATGAGGGAAGCTGTGCAGAGAGGAGCAAAACCTTCACTCTAGAAAGAAAGACGAGAAGAGAGGGAGAAAGAGCAAGAAAGAGGAGCAATTCGTCCTAGTTTCCCATGCTTTTTATTCAGGAATTTTCAGGTGCCAAACTCTATTGTTCTTCTCATTTGTTACTTCTACATGGATCTTTGACGCAAGATCTCTCGTTAGGAAGTTTTCTGATGAATAGCTATGCAGATTTCTGCGAATTCTAGGTCAAAATAAGTGTCCCCTATTGAAGCATTGGATGTTTCTTTCATTTTCTTTCTTTCTTGTTTGGAATGGTTTTTGCATTCTTTGATGGAGTTCTAAGTTTTCTGTTCGATTTATACTTCATAAGAGTTCTGCTTTGAATGTATAGTAGGTAAAAGTGGGGAAGTTTGTGGTGGTTGTGGGTGCTTGTGGATTTCGAACATCTTTTTCATGAAGTTGGATTTCAGGCAGGAAAGAATTTTTATTTTCAGTTGCGACCTTTTGATCTAGGGTTTGTTTTTCTTCACTGGATGTGGGTGTTGTTGATGTGGTTTTATTCGTTTGGATTTTTTTTTTTGGAAAAATGCAGGTTTTAATTCTAGTAGGTGATTTATTTGTATAATTCCTATTTGATTTATTGGATTGTAGGGCTTCCTTCTTATGAGAAGCTGGAATGAATTTTTAATGACTTTTTTTCCAAAGTTTTTTCCTATGAAAAAGGATAATGTTTTCTTGTTTCTCCTTGATTTAGAAAGTTAACAAAGTTGTAACACTTACTGGTCTTTAATATTGGAAAAAAGGTTTGTCTTCTACAGTGCCACAATTGTATGAGAACTGACATTTTGTGGGTTTTGCAAGAAGTACATATCCTAAATCAAGTCTATCCATTCTTCTAGACTTCTTTTATTCATGGTAGATTGAATTCCTATGCCTCTTTTCAAAAGAAAAGCTTTTTCTCTAGTGGAACCACCCTGGGATTTGGAGCCTCGTGAGATAATTTTCCAAGTTCGCTTCACAAAAGAGATATTTTGTTATTATCAGTGTCCTCTTTGTGTCTTCAGGGGTAATGACATGAGCTTTCATGAAAGTTATTATTTTATGCATTTGAGTTGTTATATTTTCTTTCTTATCCATAAATCTTGTGACAAAGGTTTGATCTTCCAAGTCTTGTTTACCAAGGAGAAATTGAAACCACCATTATTTTGCAACCTAAGATATCAGACCATGCTCTTTATCTGAATCTTTCCTTAACCTAAATCAGAGAATATCTGAAGTGGATGAATCTATATCATAGGAGAGTATGGACATGCAAAGTTACTAGAAAACAAAACTTAACATATGAAGAGGCTTTGGTTTCAGAGTGTCGTGCAACCAAGAAGGTTCAACAGTTTCCTAATGAGTTAATGGCACTTGTGCATCTTATGATCCAATTCAATAAGAACTCATCATTGTGAAGAAGAGACATTTAAATTTGTTCAGCTTGAAACATTCTCTCTCTCTCTCTTTTTTTTTTTAATATTTTGATAATTTTTGTTGGTTCTCATGTTCCATACCTTCAAATTTTGAGCCGTTAATTTCTGATTGGTCCTTAGTTGAGTAACATGAGTTTAACATCATTTAAAGAGATCAGAGATCCTTCTTAATATTTAGGTAAAAGGGCTTTTGGATAAAAGGATTCAGAACCTCTACTCTTCCTGGAAATGACTAAGCCCTATCTTTTAGGAATAGGAAAACCTTCCACCGATGGAAAGATGTTAATGAATTTGAAAATTAATTTTGGCTTTAATATTGAATTAATTTTGATTTGAAAGTTCATTTTAGAAAATCCTTTTGCACAATCATATATTCTAAAGCTAGGTTTTAGAGGAAAAAGCAATAAGGTGATAAATTGCATAAAGTGCATATGATCTTTTTTCCATTTTTATGTTTTGGTTATTGTTGTAACAATCTTTGGAACATATTTTTTTGGATTTTCTTGATGAACTCAGTATGCACTAATATATGATAGATTTTCTAGTTTAATGATTTCTTGAAAATACTCTTCGATGATACATTAATTCAAACTTCAGTTATAATATTTTTATTGATATCAAGAGAAATTTATTGAAAAAAGGCAATATGAAGATTCTCGTGACTAAGGGGGCAACCTTCTAATACTTATTGTTTTACTTTTTTTTCGAAGCCTAATACTTTTTGTTTTACTTGCTTCACTCTTTAAGCTTTGCTTGTATAAAGAGTAGTAGTTTTTTTTGAAGTACATTATTGTTGAAGATATGTATTTTTTTTTTCTTCTATTAAGAGGATTGCTAATGAAGTGCTGAAGGGCAATGACTAAAAGATTACTAATGTCGTTTGGTCATTCCTAGGCTCTTAAGGAAATATTTCAAGGGTTGAAGTTATGCTAGGTGGTTGGAGATCAGCTGGACTTGTTGGGGCTATCAATGAAAAGGTTGAAGAGTTGGGTTCAATTTGGATTTTTGAGAAAAAAGTTGGTTTTGAAATTGGAAAGGATTAATGAGAAGTCTAAGGATCTCAAGGATTTTAGGAAGGCTGCTCTTATAGTAAGAAGATTCAGAAGTCAGACTCAAGTTATTAGCTTCCACTTATTCCTTTAACTAATGCATTAGATTCAAGTAGATTTCCAAACAGTAATCTATTTACTACATGGAAATAGCTCTTGAAATTTCATTACTTCTTAAAATTTATTAAAATGCCATTGTTTCTTATTCCTTTTGTGAAGATTGAAATTATCACCCGTAGCCACTAGGAAATAATAACAATTATTTAATTTCAATATATTAAAAACTACAACATGAAGCAAGAGAGCTCTAGTTGGGTACCTCCTTGGGCAAGAGAGCTCAAAACAAAATGATATACAACTGTCAAATTATTCATAAAAAAATATCAAATCCTAAGCCTCATTTCAAGTTTGATCTCAATCCTTGCACTTTTGATTTGTTTAACATTAGGCTTGGGATGAAGTAGGCAAGTTTATATTGCACAGTTAATTATTAAATTTCCATACATGATTTTATATTTCTCAAAGTGTGATTTTTTACTTATTTTCTATTATTTTCTTATAGGTTGAACATGATAAAGGAGATACTTCATGCGTGCAGAAGGAGACAAATTTGATCAAAATTTACATATCAAGTTTCTTTTTTTATGCTTTTAGTTTCATGTATTCAAGAACCTTGAATTTGTAATAGATTTTAAATACATGGATGTATTAAAGTACCCTTGAGATGTAATTCATTTCTTCATTATATAATCTTTTATTAAAATTGTGTTCAAGTTTCATCTTATATTATGAATGAAATAAGTTGTGCTTGTATTCGATACAGGGAAAAAATGGCTTAAAAAAGTAATGAAAAGAAATTCAAGATCTAATTATCAATCATTGTTAACAATTTTATCTACATGTAGTTAAAAACAATAGCTAGATTCATGGTTTTTTGCTACAAACTGCTTAACTAGTAGCTATAGGCTTTCACTTTTAGCCATGGACAACCTAAATTCATTGCTACGAATTTATACTTTTTAACTACAGTCAAATTAAACCGTAGTTATAGATTCATATTTGTATACGGACATTTCAAAAACCGTAGCTATAGATGCAAATTTTGTAGCTATAGACATCTTACAACCGTGGCCATAGAGTAACATTTAGCTACAGTTTATTTCACAACTGTAGTTATAAAGTCAATTTTGTAGCTACGATAACTTAAAAACCGTAGCTAAAAATTTGCATATAATAGATTTGTTAAGGCTTTAGCCACAGTCATAGTCCGTAGCTATAGGTTAGTTTTAGCTATGGATTCTAGCATTCGTAGCTATATCCTATAGCCACGACAACTGTAGCTACTATTTTTTTACCATAGCTAGTCTATAGCTATAGACCTATAGATACGGATTTTTGAATTTATAGCTACGGTTTTGTCCGTAGCTATAGGTCTATTTTCTTGTAGTGGTTGGCTCATAGCATCTCTAATTGAGGGAGTTCTAGCACAAGTTGTTGGACTCTCTATAGTTGCTGAAGTTTGGAGTGCCCTGGAAAAATCCTTCTCACTTCTCAGTCCAGGGTACTACAACTTAGGCACCAATTTCAGAATCTCAAGAAGGAAAATCTGTTAATTAGTGACTATGTTCAAAAAGCCAAAACGATTGCAGATAATCTTTCTACAGTTTCAAAACCAATAGCAAAAGAAGATCTGGTTTTATACATCCTTTTTGGCTTGGGTAGTGAGTATGAATCTCTTCTTATAGCAATAACAAATTGAACTAATGTAGATCAACTTAGTATTAGTGATATTCTTGGACTTCTCTTGAGTCATGAAGCATGACTTCTACAACACAATTTTTCTGGTGAAAATCCTAATGCACATATTGCAACAAATAATAGTAAAAATTCGACCAATAATTTTCACTCTTCTCAGAATTCATATAGTCAAAATAGAGGAAGTTATAATCATGGCAGAGGTAGGGGGCATGACAGTTAGCCCTCTAGTCATGGACAAGGTCGTGGAAGATGAAACACCATTACCTGTCAACTTTGTAACGAATTGGGTCATGGAGCACTGAAATGTTACAAATTGTATGTTCTCTCTTATCAAGGAGAGAACAAATCAAATCCACCAGATCCTGCAGTCTTTCATAATGGGATGTCACATAATGGCTCTATTTCTGGGTTCGATCCAATATGGTATTTGGGTGGTGGCGCCACCCGTCATATGACATTGGATGCTGATAACTTACAAATTAGATCGAATTATCAAGGTTCTGATCAAGTCAAGATTGGTAATGGAATAGGTTTGGTGACAAATATTATTGGATCAGCCTCTCTTGTTTGCAATAATAATGGATTTGTCTTGAAGAATGTATTTCATGTTACTGCTCTTACAAAAAAATCTGCTTTCAGTAAGTTTACCAAGGATAATAATTTGAATTTTGAGTTTCATCCATGTTTCTATCTTGAAGGACCATATGGGGAGAGTTTTACTCTGAGGACCTAGTAGAGATGGACTCTATCAATTTCTCAGGACAGTTCAGCATAAGACAAACAACTCAGAAGCTCTTGTAGGTGAGAAAGCTTCATTGGAAGAATGACATCAGCAGCTTGGTCATGCATCTCTAAAAATTATTAAAAATATTTTTTCTAAATTTGGTTTGCCATATTCAGGGTCTCTTAGTCACCTTTTTGTGTGTGAGGCATGTCAAATGGGTAAAGCCCATCGTTTAAGTTTACCTTTATCTGATACAAAATTTTCTTCTCCACTTGAGGTAGTTTTTTCTGATGTATGGGGACCTGCCCCAACTTTGTCTAATAAAGGATATAAATTTTATGTTTTATTCATAGATGCCTACTTCAAATTGTCATGGATTTATCCTCTTGAGAAGAAATCAGATGTGTTTAATACTTTTCTTAAATTTAAAAATCATGTGGAGACCTTATTTTTGACCAAAATCAAGATGTTTCAGAGTGATTGGGGCAGAGAATTTCATAGTCTTTCTCGTTATCTTGATGATACAGGCATCACTTATCATCTTAGATGCCCTCACACACATGTACAAAATGGCAATGTTGAACACAAACATCGTTATGTCATTGAGTCCACATTATCTCTACTAGCACCCTCCTCTCTTAGTCCTTCTAGGCAGATGCTACTGAAACTATCATTTTTCTTATCAATCGACTGCCTACTCTAGGCCTTGGTAATCTCTCTCCTTTTGAAAAATTATTTGGGAAACCTCCAGATTATTCTCTATTAAAAGTTTTTGGTTGTAAGTGTTATCCTCTTCTTAGGCCCTACAATAAGCACAAGATGGATTTTCACTCTGCACCTTGTATCTTCATTGGCTACAGTAACTATCACAAAGGGTATTGTTGTTACAATCCTGCTATGGGCCAAGAAATATTTGCTCGACATGTTGTCTTTGATGAGTACTCCTTCCCCGGCATATTATAATCATCACTGTCTATTGGCTCTTCTAATACTATTGGCGTCATTCTTCCTCCTCTAGGTGTCACTGACTCTGCTCCTTGTTCGGCTCTTGCTATTCATGAGGTATCTTCCTCTCCTCTACCTTCTATTGAGATTACTAATGAGGAATATGCTACTTCTTCTCCTAACCTAGAACATGCAATTTCTATAAGTGATGACCTCTTACCAATTCGGCGCACTTGAGCTCTTCAAGAGCTCTTGGACATAACTCTAGTGGTGCATCTTCCTATGCACACTCATTCCATGGAAACAAGGTTGGTGGTAGCTCGTTTGGCTCATGATCTACTTGCCACTTGCCATCCTCTTCCGTCTGATTGCTTCATGATGTCGCTAGTCATGACGTTGAACCATCTTCCTATGCTCAAGCTTCCAAGTTTGCTCATTGGCGATTATCCATGGCCATCGAGTTTCATGCCTTAGTTCAGAATGTTTCTTGGGAGATGGTTCCCTATGACTCCTTTATGAATGTTGTTGGTTCCAAGTGGTTTTTCAAAATCAAATGTCACCTTGATGGCTCGATTGGTCATTACAAAACTCATCTTGTTGCTCAAGGCTTCACTCAAGTTACTAGCGTTAACTTCATAGACACCTTTAGTCCTGTGGTCAAACCCACCACTGCCTGTACTAGTCTTTCTCTAGAAATATCTTGAGGATGGGATATTCAACAATTAGATGTTCATAATGTGTTTCTCAATGGATTCATTACAGAAACAATAAATGTGAGCAATGAAAAATGGCTCACTTACCACTTGGGCTAGAAATGGAGTTGCCACCCATCAAATTAGGAAAGGGAGGTGATGTGACCTCCGAGAATGATTTAAAAAAAACAGTTTTTGTTTAGACAGTGACTCCAACGCCCGAGGCACTAACTAACCAGTCAAGGTAAGACTTGGATGGGAGAGGGAAGGGGTTAGGCACCCCTCTCCCAAGTCCAATAGGTGGGGCCCACATGGTGTCTTAAGTGAGCATAATCACAAATACATGATTAATAAAACACAAGAATGATAAAGAAAGTAACAAATTGAAAATAAACCAACAAAAAAGACTTATTTGATTTATTTAGTATATTTTTTATTTTCCCTTTTTTATCCTTTTTTTTTTAATTTCAATCCAAAACAGAGACTTGCATCCTCTATCGGCTCAAAATGATGTTCCCTTCCATACTCATAGACCAATCCCCTTTTGGATGCAGGGACCTGAGCAAAAGGGTGGACGATTACTCCCTCACCCCTTTTCTATTAGAGCCCCTACCTTCGGACTCAATGGAGTGGTCTGAAGAGAGAGGAAATCCAAACCTTTGGACTATGGGAGAATGCTCAAGTTGGTATTCTCATTTAAGTTGAATTTAATCATTAGATAAAATCAAATAAAAACATAGAATATGATTCCAGAACAATAATGAATAACATCAAATAAAAAGAATTATCCTATTTGCAAGAATTAGGGACATTCATAGTTCATTAGAAGTTCAGTGATATGCACTTCAACAAGTTTGGGTTGCTTTGGAAGCTGATTTGGCAAGGAGCACACAATGGAAAAAGAGAAGAAAAAAATAAAAAAGAAGACGACTAATGGATCTTACCAATGTCGGCCTAGAATCTATCGACGGAACAGGGGAGATCTTAGTTTGTTTCGATCAAAGGCTGCTAATTGGGATAGAGATGATTCTCGCAGATTGCGAAACATGATCAAATGTTCTAGACGTAGACCACTTTAAAGTTGAGAGGAGATGGAGATGATAAGCCAAGTTGCAAATGACACAGTGGAACAGCGTCGATCCTGATTTGTTTCAACCATTGGTTACCGACTGCCAATGACAATGGTCGACGATGTGAACTATCGACGGAACAGGGGAGATCTTAGTCTGTTTCGATCAGAGGCTGCTAGTTGGGATAGAGATGATTCTCGCAGATTGCAAAACATGATCAAATGTTCTAGACGTAGACCACTTTAAAGTTGAGAGGGAGATGGAGATGATACGCCAAGTTGCAAACCCAGGTTCATTGGAAGGAACTGGGGTATTTCTCTTTTAGTCGTAGATTTGTAGATGATACACCGAGTTGCAAATGACACACAGTGGAACAGGGTCAATCCGGATTTGTTTCAACCATTGGTTACCGACTGCCAATGACAATGATCGACGATGTGAACGGTAGTTTGATGGAAAGAAAACTTACTTCCAAGCTTGAACTATGCTACTGCAACCAACTTTGTTCGATCGATGATGATGGGAGAATAGAGAGGTGGAAGGGAGATAGAAATCTGATCGGTGAACGGAAGAGGGAGATAGTA